GGGCCAGATTGAGAAACAGGATGAAAAAGCAAATTCCTAAAGATAACAAAAGGTCTGTAATTCCTGCAAATGTTCTTTGCGATCAAACCATAGGCAAAAATCTGATGATATTTTTTTTTGGTTTCTTTAAAAAGATGTGAGGGAAGAAACTCATGAAGAAATGAAGCTGGTTTAGCTTAACAGTTACTACAATTAATGAGTCAATTTTAATGAGACATGCACCTAAAAATCCAAAAGACAGAGGGAAGCAGGTAATAGATTTTGACAAACTGACCATATTTAGATGAAACATCTAAAAGAAACCTACAGGGAAAAAAAAAAAAAATAAAAAAATAACAAACCCCAACTATTCCAGCTAACATAAACTAAAGGGGTTTATATATTCTATACACTAAGGGACAGAAACAATGTGGTTTTGAATATGCTGAGAAACAACTGAAGGTATGAAAACTACAACTGAGTTGTAGGACTAGAAAAATTACACTATTCTGCAAAAATTAGAACCAACAGTATTAGTTCAGCTATGCAGATGCACAGTGGGATTTTCTTGTTGCTTGGTTGTTTGGTTTGGGGTTTTATGTTTTGTTTTGATATCTGGTTAGTTCATAGATCAATTTTAATGTTACTGTGAAACACACATATTTCCCCCCTAAATCTGAATCAGAAACACCATTAGGGTTTTGGTTCTGCCTAGAATATTACAAGTAAGTATTATCAAAACACCAAGTAGGTATTATTACAAATCTGCCTGATGTGATAAAACCTACATAAGGTGATATCTATTCTAAGAATTCATGATTTAGTCCATATAGAAATGAAGGTTAGTTTAATTAAGCTTTTTTGGAAGGGCTATTACTAAACTGATAGTTAAATAAAATCAGACTAATTTCATGGGGCTTAAGATTTCTAAAAAAATATTTTTGATAGCACTCCAAACAAAAAATAAACTTAATCTTCTTTATGTCTCTATGCTTTTTGTTCAACTTTAAATTACACTTAAAGAAACATATAAAGAGGAGAGGTAACTGAGTAACACTCATACAAACGGAGATAGCATAACCAGCTATTCTGTGATTTATCATGAACTCACAAGGCCCTAATTGCATGCTCTTAACTTCTTTTTACAAAAATACAAACATACCTACTTGGCCAGTTGCCACTATGTTGGTAAACTTGGGGTGCTGATTTACAGTGAGGCACAAAATATCATCATTGTGTTCTTGGTAAAAAGACTGAGAGCCTAGAAAAAAAAAAATATATAATTTAATTTAATTAAACACTTATACACACACAGACATGGTCAACATTTGAAAATTTTATAATATTTGCTAGAAAACAGCATTTTGATGATGTTGCAGTTGGGAGCTTAAAAACAGGAAACAAACTCCTACTTCTTTATCTCAATAACTCCAAGCTATTCTCTCAAGTTTTCTACATCAAGTTGCTTCCATATCACAGAAACAAATGGAACTGTGTTACTCTTTAGAAGGTCTAAGTTATCTGAACTAAACTGATTATTGGGAATGAAGGTATGTGATACAGAGGACTGAAAAGTAAACCAAAAAAAAAATTAATTAACTTAGTCTTAGAAAAAAACATTAAATTATGACAACTCCCACTGTTCAGCCGGTTTAGGTTCTGTGACCATTTTAACAAGCCAATTTCAGAAAGCTAATACCAAAATAAAACTTTACTTCCTTCAAAACTCAGTCACTAGAAACATTTTAACATCTTTAGTTTGCTTATGCAGCTATAATGGATCATCTCCCTAGACTGTATTTCCAGCAATAAATAATAAATTCCCCACATACTTCTGTAACATTTAAAGCATACCAGTTACTTCATAAACTCTGACTCCATGTGCATGAAGAAACATTTTTCCTCAAGTGGGTTTTCTCCTACCTGTTGCCACATTATATAAGATCCCAATAGATGCAGTATGATATATTACATCAGCACCATCATTCAAATAGTGCACATTGTTCCTGCAGTCCTTGCCTCTGTACCCAAATATCAGCTCCAAAATTAGATCCTAAAAAAGATATTTACATATATTAGACACTCAAAACCTTAAAGCAATTATGAACATTACAATCTTTTCCAGGACTTTATTTTTTAAATATGTCCTTCTGCAGTAAAGCAAGAGGAGTTCATGGTGTCTCAGACCAACCAAAACGGACCCTCACCTTCTCTGACAGCTCACACTGCCACTCATTCTTGTCACACACAGTCAGGTCATCTGTTTGGTGGATGCTGTAGAATATCTGTGTGTGTATGTACACACACGTGTATGTACACAGAAAGTGATGCTCATACACAAAAATAAATAAATTATAGTGAACCAAGAAGAACACAGATCTCCTGATGAGGAAGATACTAAGTAACAATGAATGATAAACACTGGTCCACAATTTAATTCCATCTGGCAATTAGAAAGCTGAATTATAGCCTAAAAATTCCTGAACACTGATGTCAAAAGGCCATTTACTATCCCTCACCAAACATTTTGTTTCATGCTGGAGAAAATATTTCAGTTAGTATGAAAAACTGCATTTTGCAAGGTTAGATGAAATCTCCACTTTAGTTATCTAAACAGGAGATACTGCTTTCTACACACTGCATTTAAAAGAGTTTATTTTCACTAGGAATTAAGTTGTGTTCCATATAATTTGTAAAAAAAAGTAATATCAGGCTTTTTTGGATTTACAAAAAATATCCTCCCCTCCCCCTTTTTCTGCTGTCTGCTTACTCAATATTCAGTATTTCCATTTTGGATTCATTTAAAATGAAACTATTATTTAGTGTGTCCACATGTGTGTCAATTTCTGGGAAAAAAAAAATTCTAAAAGGAGTGTAAGAGAATCAGTATTTTTCTTACCTCTATAGGTCTCTTTTTTTTCCCCACATTATTTGTCTGAAGCTTCTCTGGCTGTGGCAATGCCCTACTAACTGGTGGTCTGAAATAAAGAACTGTGAATAAGAGAAGGCTGTCTGTCACCCATTCCATACTAACACAGAACCTTCCATCCTGCTGCTGCACATGGAAACCTTACAGCCCTACCTTGTCTAATTGATATTTTCACTCAACTTTAAAAGAAATACCTCTGTCAAAGGAAGAAAAAAAAAAAAATCTTTGTTTAACATGCTGGGTTTTCCAACAATTCTTCAACAATCTATGAGGTTAATGCAAAAGCTTGTTTTCCCATGAATGATCACTGGTACAATAATCTCAGCTTTTTCATGCTATATTCTTAAGATACTTCCATCTTCTCCACAGCAATTTTTATTGGATCAGCTTTAAAGGCTTACCTGATTAATCTAAATACTTGAGATAATCAGTCCCGCTCCCACACGCCTTCAGTAGGAGGCCTAAATGTTCCTCTTTTTGTAATAGTTTGTAAAGCACTCCAGGTCCACCTGCCCATTCACTCTTGCATTAACAGAACCAAGTTACTGATCAGTGTGTGGTTGGAAGCAAACCATCACCATGCAAACGCATGACTGTCAGCCGTAACTCATGTTCCACTGTTCTGAATAGTGCAGATTTAATTAAGAAACCTCAACTGGATAAGTTTAATATCTGTAACATCTTCCAGATTATGTTCAACCGTTCATATCAATTAAAACATATTTGTATGTTTCTTTAATCAACTTTATGCAATTATTTCTAGCAATTTGCACTTGTTGATTCTATAAATCCAGCACAAGCAGCCACGAAAAAAAACCTCTAAGTTTGGCACTTAAGAGGAACAATTAATTTACAAATAAATTCTGTGTATAGGTTCAATGAACTCCAGATGATTGTTCCTATGCAATCTGATCTAGGTGAACCTGCTTTGGCAGGGGGGCTGGACTAGGTGACCTCCAGAGGTCCCTCCCGACTCCTGTCCTGTGATTATGTGGATGATGAAAAATTTCTGTCCGGTAAAGAAGTCTGTTGGATGTCTGGATCATCCAAACATGATCAAGTTTATTAAAACTTGTGTTAGATAGGGCTAGAGAGAGGTACTTGAAATATTTAATTCAGCATCATAAATCTACATTGTATGAAATGTATAATCTTTACAACAGAAAATCAAAATCCACAATTGAAGTACGGAGAAAGACTTCACAGAGAATGGTAAACTAAAACTTGGGGTTTGCTACTCAAAAATTCTTACTGTCAGACAGCAGACTTCTAATAAACTGACAGTAAGGGTAAAATCTGGGGACACTTACCATATATGGCCCTGCAGGTCAGAAAAGGAGTCCAATGTGGACATAGACAAAAGGTCCCCTCCCTCAGAAACAAACGTTACAAGCCAGCAGCATTTAAATACACTCTTTTCAGTCCTGCTCGCAATCTGCCTGGTGGCAATGTACCCCCAGGCTTCATTCTCAAAGGTCCTCAGTTACAGACATTTTTTTCTCTCTAAGGTCTCTCGTTGGAAGGAATTCACATACATTTTGCGACATAAAAGCAGGGTATTTGAATTTATTTTCTATATACCCTGGATCTAGCTCAGACCCATAGTAACCTGTCCCTTAGTTCGTGAAGGTGAAATTTTTTCTCCTAACTTTTGGAAAAGAGGAGGAAAAGCAAATCAGGCACGGTCTGGGCTGCCCTTACCATCTATAGCATGCTGCCCAGTAGAGGAATATATTCGAATTTCTGTCAGCAATCCCAACATCCTATTTTATGACCACTTTTGAATCCATACTGTCTCTCAGCCAGCTCTTTTCTTGTCTTATACTTGATGAGAAATTCCCAGCCTCCCAAGTCCCTTCCTCTCTTCTGTCCTATCAACACTGACTCCTAGCATCCTGTCATTTTACAACAATATATCACTAAGTGTGATTAGAATTCTCACTTTTTAGTTTTAAAAGATAAAGAAATTACACTTTTACTTAGAAGTTTCTAAATTATGTACAGAAAACACTTCACAATGTTTATCATACTAAATATATATGGAGAGAGGTCATCTGAAGTCTTGAATATGAAAAAATCTGACTGTATTTTTTTCCCACCTTCATGGCAGATAAGCAAATTTAGGTACAAACACACTGATTAAGAGGTACCAGGTATCTCTCAGTGCCACCAAAATTGAAATGCACCGACTCTGTATTGGGAATGGGCTTTCTGAAAGCACTTCAGTGATACAGAGAATGAAAACCTACATGTATTCGTTCACATAAATGAAGAGACAGAGAGACACAAATACAGCCCAGGTCAGATTAAAATCTGGGGGTCGGGGGGTTGGCAATAAATCAGATAGCTTCACTAAATGTCTGAGGTAAATTTACATTAAGATTCTTTCTTCTCTCATAAATAATTTTTTTTTTTTTTTTTCAAATATCTTTTTTGAAATGGTCACACTGACCTCCCAAATTATTCACAAACAAAGCTTTGTTTGGGTTTTGGAGTGTGGGTTTTTTGGTGGTTTTCTTTTTTTGCATATGAAGTACTGCTTAAAAAAAAAATTCTAGTGCTTACAATCTCTTAAGTTAAATGCCAAAATAATAACCATTTCTCTGCCTGTGAAACTAAGTCTTTGAAGCATGAAGAGAGTTAGCAAGTTAAATAAATTGTACATACCCATGATTATACATATCCTGTTATTCTATGTCCAAGAATTATAGCTATTGAAATATATCTAATATCCAATTTGTGTAACAGGTTAATGATATTAAGAGCTGCTAATGAATTTTTTCCCCCACCTACAGTTTATTACTTTGAGTTATAACTCAAATTCCTTAATTCCTTTGATACCTCCATAATTGCTGCTCGTTTACTAGGTAACTAGAAGCACAACTACAAACGCAAGAAGTTCCTAAAAAAAAAAAACTCATACAAGAGCAGTTCCTTAAAAACCACTCGCATAATGTTGACTTCAAATCCCTTTTCAAGTTAAGCAGACACAACATGTACCTTCCCCTTTTCAAACAAAGAAATCTGGAACAATGCTGAAGTGCTGAAAATTGGAAGATTATATACCATTGATTCTGTTGGTCCTAACCATTAGTTTCCCCAAGAATCTGAGAGAGTGGAAAAAAGAGGAATCTATAATGAATAGCATCAATATTCACTGGTTTTCCACTGTCACGTTAGCTCTTCTCTCATCCCATGCACCAGCTATAAAAATCAAACAGCAAATACAGTGTGGAATATTGCAGAAATACACTGGCACGCTGTTTGTTGTGCATTCTGCTTTTACTGTCATAATGTAGAACTCAAAAAGGCTTCTGGAGAAAAAGAAATCCAGCTGTAAATGACATAGTAAGGACTAAAAAGAAAATCACAATGCCACCTTACTCAGCTGTGAGGCATCAACACCCAAGGTATTACTGCCAGTAGAAAAAAATCCAAATGTTCTTGAAGAAAGGAAAGTAGAAAAAGATAAGACTTCTTTTACAGTTCCAGAGAGCCTTCTTAGCTGAGAGAGAAGCGTAATTTCTGATGCTTTTCAGACAGCAAGGAAATCTTTAAATGTAGCTTCCTTTAGATTACACTGCAGCCAGCACATGGGACAAGAATGTCAGATTCTGGACCTAGTACTCTTTATATATTTCTCCATTACTTTGAATAAATTAAGATTTTGGGATCAAAGGCATGACATTACTATGCCTTACCATAAAAAAAACAAACAAAGAAACAAAAACCCCACAACTAAAAACCACCACCAAAAAAAAAAAAAAAACAACAAAAACACCAAACACCTGAAGCAAGAAGTCCAAACTTTAGCAAACTGACTCCAATTCACTTAGGAGAATTCCTAACAATTTATCCATAGAAGTATTTTTGTTCCCATCTTGATTTAGAGCTTCTCAAAAGAAAAAAGGCATTCCCAGAAACACTATTATTTAGGAGGAACAGTCTATTGTTGCAGGCTAGTGCTGTTTGACTGCTGTTGCAAACGTACATAAAAATCAGAGACTGAGGGAGGACAGCACAGGTCAGGGGAGGTTCAAGGAAATAAAAAGGATACATCTAAAAGAGCAGAGAAAATTTCTGTAATTACATATTTGAGGTAAAGAAAATGAAAGTTAAGTTCAACAAGTTTTTTTCCATGGGAAAAAACGAAACAAAACAAACCACCAAAATCCAAAACCAAACCACCACACCCAAGCCTAATAGCAGTAGGAAACTTGATAACCTTATGTTATCCAGACAGCTCTGGAGAAGAAGTGAGTGACAACGCTGGTGCTGAGCAGGCACATGGCACGTAAGGGTTGGAGGCTACATCACTGGAGGTCAGTCCTGCTCTACAGATGGGGGTGGGGGAAGATTAAGCAGAACTGACCAATCCAATCTACCTCCTGATCACCCCAGAATCCTTCCAAATAGATATTACTTTTAATTTCTGATTTATCATGGACAACCCAGAAAGAGCCTTATTCCCGTTGCTCTACGAACCAATAAAACACAGCATAAAGAGCCCTTCTCCCCTTGTCACCCTCCTATTTAACACAGAGCACACAAACCTAACTTCTTGACTTTCCCCTCCTCCCCCACCACCCCACCACTTATTTAATTTACATCCCTGATAGAGGAAAAAGTGAGTTAGAGGGGAAAAAAAAAAGGCAGAAAAACTAAATAGAGCAGAAAAGCTTATCTGAACTTTCAATAAAGCAGTGAAAACTGAAAGGACGGGGTTCTGGAACAGGTTTATGTTACTGGAACTGAACTGACTGGAAGTGAGGAGTTCTCTGCTGCTTGGATCTAGAATGTGGCATTTCTATAATATTTGCTGTCTGCTAATCCCTTGTGATAGAATGGGAGAAGAGGTAGAACAATCTCATATTACACATCTGCTTGAAAAGACCATCTATACTTAACAGCTGTACAGAGAAACAGATAAAAATATGGATTTCTATCCATCCATAGCCACTCATTAGAGTATGTTCACATTTGTGCATGACCATACAAATGAATGGTGAGTGTGTACTGGTCAGTAAAACTCGACCTGACAATCTATATTTAGCTATACTTTCTCACAGGTCACCTAAACAGTTTAGGCAAGTACTCAT